ATTCGTTTGTACGGTATTTCAGTTTTTTCCAGTTCTTCAGATTTCTCCCTCTGAGGGTGTACTAGTTTTATGTTTGGGAAAAAAACATATGCATACAATAATGTAAGCAAAATATATGGATTAAATTAACAGACAGTTAACCAGCCTATTTTGGAATGCTAAATGTCTAGAGGCAGTACTAGGTTTTTATATTTGAATGAGGGCATAGTAGCTAGTAACCACACCTGGAAGATTATAAAGATGCCCCTGCAATATGACATTTTAAAGATATCCATGTTGCAATCCAGCACATATTTATTTCATTTTAGCCCTTTGGCAGTCAATTATGGATAGTAAGTGGAAAGGACTGCACGAGGGCAAACAAACTGAAACCTAATCTAGACAAAACAGAGGTGCTCCTGGATAATCAGAAGGCAGATCTGGGAATAAGGATTTTGCCTGTACTAGATAGGGTTATGCTCCTCCTGAAATCTTCAGCTCGCAGCTTGGGTATTCTCCTGGACTCAACTCTGAGCCTGAATCAGGCCCGTAGCCAGGATTTTGTTTCGGGGGGGGGGGGCTGAATTTTTCAGGGGGGGTTTCGGGGGGGCTGAGTTTCGGGGGGGGGGGGCTGAGTCTGAGTGAAAGAGGGTCTAGCCTAGCAAACCTTTTGTATCATTACCCCAATACCCCCATGCATATGGGATATATTGAGTATGGTGATCAGATCATGATATGAATAAACATAACAGTTTAAATAATGCACCAGTAAGGCCTTTTCGCGAACCACCATGAGAATTTGGGGGGGGGGGGCTGAAGCCCCCCAAGCCCCCCCCCCCCCCGGCTACATGCCTGGCCTGAATGCTTAGGTTTCAGCAGTGTCCAGGAGTGCATTTGCACAGCTAAACTAGTGTACCAGCTGCACCTGTTCCTTGAGACGTCAGATCTGGCTGCACTGACATATATCTTGTTTACTTCCTATTTGGACTACTATAACTCATTTGATGCAGGACTGCCTTAGGAAATAGTTTTAAAACACAGTGGGGCCAGAATGCTGCAGCCAGAATGCTGACTAGGGCCAGTTATAAGAACCATGCAATTTCCTTGTTAAAATAACTGTTTGTTCAATTCTGGGAATAATTAAATGTGCTGGTCATGACCTATAAAGTCCTATATGATTTAGGTCCAAACAATCTGAGATGCTAAATGTATTGTTGAAGGCTGTAATGGCCGGAGTCACTGGGTTGTTGTAGGTTTTTCAGGCTGTATGGCCATGTCCTAGAAATGTTCTCTCCTGACATTTTGCCTGCATCCATGGCAAGCATCCTCAGAAGTTGTCTGCAATGCCTTTCATGTTCCTTAATTTGTGTTTGGGTGCTACTTCAACCAGAGAAGTCAGCCATAGTAGAGCACCTGATAAACCAACCTGGACACAGCATTTTATTTGAGAACACAGAAATGCTGGACCACTCCAACAACTACCATGTTAGGCTACACAGAGAAGCCATTGAAATCCACAATCATGTGGACAATTTCAACAGAAAGGAAGAAGCAATGAAAAACAAAATCTGGCTACCAGTATTTAAAAAACTCTAAAATTATAACAGTAAATAAAAAACAAAACTCAAACACAGGGGAACTCCAGAGAAGAAACAATCAGGAACAACTAATCACCTCTCAACAAAGAATTCCCCCAGGTAGTAATGTTGTTGTTGTTCATTCGTTCAGTCGTCTCCGACTCTTCGTGACCTCATGGACCAGCCCACGCCAGAGCTCCCTGTCGGCCGTTACCACCCCCAGCTCCCTCAAGGTCAGTCCAGTCACTTCAAGGATCCATCTTGCCCTTGGTCGGCCCCTCTTCCTTTTTCCTTCCATTTTCCCCAGCATCATTGTCTTCTCTAGGCTTTCCTGTCTCCTCATGATGTGGCCAAAGTACTTCAACTTTGTCTCTAGTATCTTTCCCTCCAGTGAGCATTCAGGCTTTATTTCCTGAGGATGGACTGGTTGGATCTTCTCGCAGTCCAAGGCACTCTCAGAACTTTGGAACTGCCTATAGTTCAAAAGCATCTCCTTTCCTTCGCTCAGCCTTCCCTAAGGTCCAGCTCTCACATCCGTAGGTTACTACAGGGAATACCATGCTCAGTTAAGGTATCTTTGTTGCCAGAGTGATGTCTCTACTCTTCACTATTTTATCGAGACTGGACATTGCTCTCCTCCCAAGAAGAAGGCGTCTTCTGATTTCCTGTCTACAGTCTGCATCTGCAGTAATCTTTGCACCTAGAAATACAAAGTCTGTCACGGCCTCCACGTTTTCTCCCTCTATTTTCCAGTTGTCAATAATTCTTGTTGCCATAATCTTGGTTTTTTTGATGTTTAGCTGCAACCCGGCTTTTGCGCTTTCTTCTTTCACCTTGATTAGAGGCTCCTCAGCTCCTCCTCGCTTTCGGCCATCAGAGTGGTGTCATCTGCATATCTGAGGTTGTTAATGTTTCTTCCAGCAATTTTCACCCCAGCTTTGCATTCATCCAGCCCCGCACATCGCATGATGTGTTCTGCATACAACTTAAAAAGGTTGGGTGAGAGGATGCAGCCTTGCCGTACGCCTTTCCCAATCTTGAACCACTCTGTTGTTCCGTGGTCAGTTCTACTGTTGCTACTTGGTCCTTGTACAGATTCCTCAGGAGAGAGACAAGGTGGCTTGGGATGCCCATCCCACCAAGAACTTGCCACAATTTATTATGATCCACACAGTCAAAGGCTTTAGAATAGTCAATGAAGCAGAAATAGATGTTTTTCTGAAACTCCCTGCCTTTCTCCATTATCCAGCGGATATTGGCCATTTGGTCTCTCGTTCCTCTACCTTTTCTAAACCCAGCTTGAACATCTGGCAACTCTCGCTCCATGTATTGCTGGAGTCTTCCTTGCAGGATCTTGAGCATTACCTTACTGGCATGAGAAATAAGGGCCACTGTACGGAAGTTTGAGCAGTCTTTCGCATTTCCCTTTTTTGGTATGGGGATATAAGTTGATTTTTCCAGTCTGATGGCCATTCTTGTGTTTTCCATATTTGCTGGCAAATGGCATGCATCACCTTGACAGCATCATCTTTTAAGATTTTAAACAGTTCAGCTGGGATCCCGTCATCTCCTGCTGCCTCAGGTAGTAATAGGGCACACCTAAAAACTGTCAGGCCATCAAATGCTAATCAAGGTGGCCAATTGAAACATTCACACCTAGCTTCAACAGACAAGAGTTCTTTCTCCCACCTGACATTCCACAGATATATAAACCCAATTTTCCTAGTTTCCAACAGACCTCACAACCTCTGAGGATGCCTGACATAGATGCAGGAGAACCGTCAGGAGAGAATACTTCTAGAACATGGCCATACTGCCCGAAAAACCAACAACCCAGTATCTGAGAGGCTGTATCTCCCTATACTACCCTGCCAGAACCTTGAGATCTATAGGGCAATGCTTTCTCAAACTCCCGCCACCAGACACAAGGTACAGCCTGATAAAATCCAGATTAAAATTCACAACTTAAAACTGACTGGGTAGGCCTGCCGGAAGAGATGGCTCTTCAATTATGTCTTAAATTCCAACAGCTGATCACGCTGTCAAAACTCTTACGGCAAACCAAATGTCAAACCAAAACTGGCATTTGTAGTTTAGCAGTTGTATCATTAAGCTATAGAAATATATATAAATAAAAAGCTCAGCACAATCTAACAAAATCTAACTTTTCTCAGTGAAAAGAAGTAATAGAATCATAGAGTTGGAAGAGACTGCATGGGCCATCCAGTCCGACCCCCTGCCAAGAAGCAGGAAAATTGCCTTCAAAGCACCCCCGACAGAAGTCCCTTTGCTGAGAACTGTTTTCCTCAGATATTTGCAACAAGGGAAACTGAGGGCAAGTGGCAGAAACTGCTTGAGTCATTTGAAACCAGTCTGAAAAAAGCATTCCAGCACATGTTAAAGTGAACAGCCCTGCATTGATAGTTAAGCAGGCAGAACTGATCCTTTCAATTGCTATTTTTCTGTGGGTAAAATTCTGTCCTCGATATGTATAATGTATTCAGTTCCCTCAGTTAAGAGGGGAGTTGTCAATGACACTTGATCTTCCCAGTTCATCTTCAAGGCAAACTGACCAGATCAGATGGACAATTATTAACAGTAATAGAAAATCTGCCTTGTTACAAAGGAAATGACAATTTTTACTTGGGGGCAGGCCCGTAGCCGGGGGGGGAGGGGGGGCTTGAGGGGCTTCAGCCCAAGAGCCGGTGTTGTCCATAGACGCCTCCAGGTCATGTCGCCGGCATGACTGCATGGAGCGCCTTTACCTTACCGCCAGAGCTGTATCTATTGATCTACTCACATTTGCATGCTTTCGAACTGCTAGGTTGGCAGAAGCTGAGGCTTATAGCGGGAGCTCACCCTGCTTCCTGGATTCAAACCGCTGATCTTTTGGTCAGCGAGTTCAGCAACTCAGCGGTTTAACCTGCTGTGCCTCTGAGGACTCCCAATCTCATATATATGCTGTTTTGGCTCGTAGCCAGGATTTTGATTGGGGGGTGAGGATCTACCCTAGCAAACCTTTTGCATTATTATCCCAATACCCCCATGCATATGGGATATATTGAGCATGGTAATCAGATCATGATATGAATAAACATAACAGTTTAAATAATGTATCAGTAAGACCACCCTGAGAATTTCGGGGGGGGGGGCTAAAGCCCCTCAAGCCCTCCCCCCCCCCATATGCCTGGTGCTGGGAGAATGGTGGGATTTAATTTAAGAGTAGGAGTTGAAGTCCAAAACACCTGGAGGGCCGAAGTTTGCCCATGCCTCTTCTACAGTGCAGGGATGCACTTGAGGTGAGCCTCAGTGGGTGGGGGAAGAGGGAATCCCTGGCAGTGGACGTTGCGCAAGAAGCGGAGGGCGGGGCGAGGCGAGGGCGGAGGGAGGGGCGGGGCTTCGCGCGCGCCACAGAACACCTGGGCGCTCCTGAGTCCCCCCCCCCCTCTCCGTAACCGTCGCCTCACGCGCGCGGGGGACGAAGCCGCCCTCGGAGCAGCAGCGTCGCCTCCTCCGTCCCTCTCGCCGGGGGGTCTCACCATGGAGAAAGCGGGTTTGCGCCGCTTGGGGAGGCTCTTCCGGCACCGGAGCGAGTCGGAGGACTCCGAAGCGGACTCGCTGCCGTCTCCGTGCCCTTCCCCGGCGCCGGAGCCGCGACGGGAGCATCGCCTCAGCGCCAGCAGCCAGGCCAGCCCTCCGGGGGCGCGGAAGAAACGCTCGGGGTTCGGCCCGTGGCGCCTCCGGAGGAAAGAGAGCAAGGAGCCCGGCGAGGACCACCGGGTCGGCGGGGGCAGCGTGCCCGCCTCGCCCTCCTACTCGCCGCACCCCCCGTTCAGCGCCTCGGAACCCAGCACACCCACCAACAGGTATGAAGGTCCAGAATATTCAATCTACGCCAGGCCTGGGCCAACTTGGGCCCTCCAGGAGTTTGGACTTCAACGCCCAGCATTCCTAACAGCCTCAGGCCCCTTCCTTTTCCCCCTCAGCCGCTTATGCTGAGGGGGGAAAGGAAAGGGCCTGAGGCTGTTAGGAATGCTTGGGAGTTGAAGTCCAAAACCCCTGGAGGGCCCAAGTTGGCCCAGCCCTGCTCTAGAGCCGCCCTTCCAAGGCATCATCATATCCCGCTGTCCAACTGCTCTTCCTTAGGTGACATCTCCTTTCCTACCGTTTGAAACCCTCGTCCAGAACGGGATGGTGCTTGTTTCTAATTTTAGACAGAAAAGCTATACCTCAAGATATACAGGCAAGCCCTACCTTACGAACAAGAGAAGATTTTTTCTATAAGTTTTTTCTGAAGTTGAATTCGTTTGTCAGGTACGTTTTTAACTATCTTATCTATCTTCAGGCCTGTAGCGACGGCGGGGGAGGGGTTCAACCCCCCCCCCCCCCAAATGTTTCAGATTTAAAAAAACCTGGTTTACTCATGAATTTTAACTGGTTAACCAAATCTCCATGCTAAGTCTATGAGACCCTCCAGAACTGCAAGCACTATCTCAGGCAAATATTGACAATTTATTCACACTGTCGTTACTTGCAGCAATAGCTAATGTAGTGAAGCAACCAAGTTGAGTGTGTGTGTGTTGAATGCTCTCATTAAGGAGGCCAGACTTGGTGGAGGTGGTTGACAGGGGCGGAGCTGCAGGCTATTGAAGGCTGCTCTGCCCCCTGCTGTGCTCTTTGCTTCAGCTTGAGCTAGGAGGCAGGTTTCAACCCCTCCCCCCGAAAATTTCAACCCCTCCCGAATTTTTTTTCTGGTTATGGCCCTGTCTATCTTTCTATTTATCTATGGCAAGCCAGTAGCCGGGTGGGGTGGGGGGCTTGAGGGGCTTCAGCTCCCCCCCCCCCGAAATTCTCAGGGTGGTCTGCAAGAAGGCGTTACTGGTACATTATTTAAATTGTTATGTTTGTTCATATCATGATCCAGTCACAATTTTCAATATATCCCATATGCATGGGGGTATTGGGACAGTGATACAAAAGGTTTGCTAGGGTAGATCCTCAGCCCCCCCCCCCCAAATCAAAATCCTGGCTACGGGCCTGATCTATGGATAGCATAGAGAAGGGTGGACACACCCCTGTGGAGTTTGTGTTGCTCCATATTCCCCTCTTCAGAGGATTTCGCTTCACTTTCTGTCCTTGTGATCATTGCATTTTGAAAAAATGGGCTTGTTGTGGAATAAGGGTTGGTGATACAGCTTCAGTGGAGATACCTTTTGCCTATGATAACTCTTCCAGCAGCCACTTCAGCACACTATTTATTTATTTATTTACTAAATTTGTGTACCGCCTTTCTCAGCCCACAGGCAACACAAGGCGGTTTACAGAGGCAAAATTCAATGCCCAGCAACATCATAAAACATTTAAAACATTAACATAAATATACAATCATAACAAAGTCAGTAAAACATAGATCGTGAACATCTCCAAGTTAAAATCAAGGTCCAGTCTCACCATCCAATCGTTCCTTATTCCTATGTCTGTTCCACTGCCTTTTCAAACACTTTCTCAAACAGGCAGGTCTTGACTTTCCTCCAAAATGCTAAAAGAGAGGGGGCCTATCTAACGTCTCTAGGAAGGGCATTTTGGTTTTTGCCTCCTGCAGAATTTTGGGGTTTGTAGTTTAGTGAGGCTGTTAAAGCCTTCTCCCTAAACTACAAACCACAGAATTCTGCAGGAGGCAGCAACCAGATTTAAAGAGAATTCATTCTCTAGTGTAATGAGGTAGAAGGAGAAAAATTCTCACTTCCTGTTGTCTCATCCCCATTCTTAACTGTGAGTCATTTATAAGTCAGAGGTTTGTAACTTGGGGACTGCCTGTATTTAGGAAGGGAAAAGGAACAATGATGTTTCAGTTGTGTTTTCAGCAGTGATGCTGCTGCCTACTAGTCGCCTAATGGCCACCACAGGAATTTCACTGGATTTTCTTAGGCTGGGACTACTTAGGGCAGGGTTCCTCAAACTTTTTTAAACAGAGGGCCAGGTCACAATCACTCAAACTGTTGGAGGGCCAGGTTATAATTTAAAAAAAAAAACATGAATGAATTCCTATGCACACTACAGATACCTTATTTGCAGTGCAAAAAACCACTTAAACAATACAATAATTAAAATGAAGAACAATTTTAACAAATAACAAGTATTTCAATGGGAAGTGTGGGCCTGCTTTTGACTGATGAGATACAATTGTTGTTGTTGTTGTGTGCTTTCAAATCATTTCAGACTTTGGTTGACCCTGAGCGAGGGCTGGGTAAATGACCTTAGAGAGCCATATCCGGGCCCGGGGCTTAGTTTGGGGACCCCTGACGTAGGGTATAATGCTAATTAGGAGAGAATGCTTCTGGATCATGGCCATACAGAAAACTTAACAGCAACCCAGTGATTCTGGCCATGAAAGCCTTTGGCAACACTTATTCACTTTGTAGAATCAAAGTAGTTAGACACTCCTTTAACTGCCATGGCCCAGTGCTTTGTAATCATAGGAGTTGCAGCTTTGTGAAACATCAGCCCTCTTTAACAGTGAAGGTCAAATGAGCTCACAGTGCACAATGGCTTAAACCCTTGTGCTGGTTGAACTGCTGACCAGAAGGTCAGAGGTTCGAATTCATGAGACTGGGTGAGCTCCCATCTCTCAGCTCCAGCTTCTCATGCGGGGACATGTAAGACGTCTCCCACAGGATGGTAATACATTTGGGCATCCCTTGGGCAACGTCTCTGCAGATGGCCAATTTTCTCATACTAGAAGCGACTTGTAGTTTTTCAAAGTCACTTCTGACATGATGAAAAAAATTGAAGGTTAAAGACCTTGTGGAACTACCACAACTAGGATTCCATTGCACTGAGCCATGGCAGTTCAAGTGGAGTCAAATTATATTCATTCTACAGTGTAGAGACACTCCTAGCCCCCATCTGCACTGACCATTTAATGCTGTGTCAAATTGGTACTGAAGAAAGTGGTTTCCCTGTGCAGATTATTATATAGGAAATCCTAAAACCAATTTGAGGCCTGGATGGGGATTAACACAAACCACAGAACACTGATGTGCAAGAAGGGATTTCTTTTGGCGATTTTGTGGTCAGTGCCAATGGTGTCCTAGTTTACTGATGGCCACTGCATGAATTCCATTGGATTTCCATAGGCAAGTTTTACTCACGTTTTTTGCAAGTTTCTTCCGCTGAAATCTAGCCTATAGCAAATGATATTCATTGGGCATCTCCCATCCAACTGTCAACCAAGGCTTGACCCTGCTTAGCTTCCAAGATCAGAAGGGATTGGGTGCTTCTAGGGTATCTAGATTTCTCAGTAATTATACAAACACAATTAGTTGTACCTCACTACTAGCATTAACATCACCCCCCCCCCCCCCCCCCCGCCGCCGCCATCAGTTCCTTCCAATCATCAACATTACCAAAAATGTTTTTTAGGGATTTCCAGTCTTTGAGACCTTTCTCTGCTTACACAAGACAATTTGTTTTACTGGTTGCTCCTCCATAGTAGAAGTCTTCCATCTTCGCACATACAACAGTCTTGCTACCAGGAACCAATCTTTCATAGATAGATCTTCTCCAGCTTTGCGGCCAACTGTCCCAAAAGATACAATTTTGGTTTCACGTGACTATTAATCTTTAAACTCCTCTGAATCGACATGTGTTTTTGTACATGTGAGGCATTTTTGTTTTGTTTTTCTGAAAAACAGGAGCTCTGCTTTTGTTTCACTCCCAGAGTTCTGTCAAGACTGTTGGATGTTGGAAAAGAGCATCATGTTGGATGTTGGATGGAAACAGTCTGTGCAGGCCTGTAGCAAGGGGGTGGTTTTAGGGGTTCAACCCCCCCCCCCCCGGAAATGTTTCAGATTTTTTTTAAAAAACCTGGTTTACTCATGAATTTTAACTGGTTAACCAAATTCCCATGCTAAGTCTATGAGATGCAAAAAAATCAAGAGTCCCTCCAGAACTGTAAGCACTATCTCAAGCAAATATTGACAATTTATTCACACTGTCATTACTTGCAGCAATAGCCGATGTAGTGAAGCAACCAAGTTGGTGGGGGGGAGTGTTGAATGCTCTCATTAAGGAGGTCAGACTTGGTGGAGGTGGTTGACAGGGGTGGAGCTGCAGGCTATTGAAGGTTGCTCTGCCCCCTGCTGTGCTCTTTGCTTCAGCGTGAGCTAGGAGGCAGGTTTCAACCCCACCCACCCCCAAAATTTTCAACCCTCCCCGAATTTTTTTTCTGGCTACGGCCCTGAATCTGTGTATATCCTATTTGTTTATGCTGGACTCATGAGAAAGGGATAAGCAACCAAAATTATACAATTCTATTTGTTTGAAGCATTAGAGATTTAGCAGCACCTTGCATCAGAGCAGATGAGTCAGACGCTTAAATGTATATAGGGAAAAGACACCAAGAATGAACTGACTATATGTATCAGGTGCAATAACATTGGTAGTGCTCATTTTGCTGAATTGTCTGAGCAGTGCAATGGTTTGAGTGTTGGACAGTGACTTTCAGGAAACCAAGGATCGAATCTGTTCCCTGTCGTGGAAACTTCCTGGATGACCTTGGGCCAGTCTCTCTCTCTCTCTCTCTCTCTCTCTCTCTCTCTCTGCTTATTAGGAAAGCAGTGACAAACCTCTTCTGAATAAATTTCTGAGAAATTCTTGTGGTACTAGGCCTGTTAACACTACACAGTTAGAGTGCTATATTCCACTATAACTGCCATGGAAACATCCCATGGTTTGGTTTTTAGGATTCTCAGTCAGAGAGCTCCATTGGTACCTTCCCAAACTACCCTGCACTCTGTTCAGCTAACGGAATACTAATGCTATAATTTTGTGGTGTGGATTAGGCCAGTGTTTTCGTTAAATAAGA